GAAAGGGTCTTTCGTTGAAACTGGAGAAAAATTCTCTTTGTAATCTATGTCTTTCCTTTGAATAAAGCCCTTTGCAACAAGACGAACCTTATATCTTTCCACATTACCTTTCGAATTTCTCTTGGTTTTAAATATCCAATTACAACCAATTGGTTTCGCACCTTCAGGCAATAGGATGAGTTCCCAAACGTCATTGTTACTTACATGGACTTTATTTCCTCATTCATAGCATTAATCTACTTTTGAGAATTATTATTTTTCATTGCTTGATGAAAGTTGATAGGATCTTCTTCCATCAATCCAATGCTACCCTCACATTCTTAGAAAAATACTATAAAGTCATCTGAAATTGTATTTCTCCTTTCTCTAGTGGATCTCCTTAGTGGCATTTGTTCTTGAGGTTATCGAGTTTGTTCTTCTGGAACAATCTCTTGATGGTGTATGGGGGATTTTGTAATATTGTCTTGATCTGAAATTGCTTTTTGAACAAGATCTAGAGCAAGAATTTGTCCCTGAACCTAATCATAGTCAATTGCAACAGAAGAAATATATACATATTCTTCATCCAAGACAAAATCATTAACCTTATAACATTATCTCGCCTCGCAAACTCTACATCCTCAAGGAATCAAATATTTCTCATTTCGAAAATTGATCTAATAGTATCTTTAAAAATTTGTACCCTCTTAACAATTGCTTTACTGGGAACTTTGTGGAGAATATAAACTGTAGTTTTTAATGCTTCTCCCTATAGAGATTTTGATAAGGTGGAATGACAAATCATACTCCTTTCCATGTCCTTAAGTATTCTGTTTCTTCTTTCAGCAACACCATTCATGCTAGGAGAACCGGCATGGTGTACTGTGAGACGATTCCACATTCCTCTAAGAATTTATCAAAAGACCCTGAACGTTGTTCACCCGATCCGTCATATCTGTCATAGTATTCACCACCACGATTACATCTAACGTGTTTTATTCTTTTGCCGAGTTGATTTTCAACTTCAACCTTATAAGCCTTGAACACGTCCAGTGATTGAGATTTCTCATGAATGAGATACAGATAGTCATAACGGGAATAATCGTCTGTGAACGTAACAAATAATTGTTGACCATTCCAAGAAGCTGAAGGGAATGGCCCATAGACTCCGTAATAATTAGTTTTAAAACGTCCGAAATCCTATTGGCACCTAATCTCCTTATGTTTGTTTGTTTTTCCTTAATACAATTTAAACAAACACTTAAGTCTGAAAAATTAAGGGAATCAAGAATTTCTTCTGACACAAGTTTTTCCATTCT